AAAAAACTTACAGGGGCCCCTGATAACACTAATCCCTCTTGCGGGCAAAAAAAAGTAGCACTGGTGGCAGTACAACACCAACAGCAATAACCTGGTGTGGCAGTGGCAGCGATCCAGTAAAATCAATAAAATGAAATATTCACACTGGGTGTATGTGTGTGAATGTATGACGGTGTGTGGAGGTGTGTACCTGTCTGTACATATGTATACATATTTATGCCACAAGTATGTGTCTATTTTGTGTGGATGAGCGTGTGCGCATTCCTAGGCTTGTCTCTCTGTGTGTGTGCGGAAATTCGTTTGTTTATGTATGTATGTATGTATGTATGTATGTATGTATGTGTGTGTGTGTGTGCGCGCACGTACATGAGTCTGCGTACATGCGTACAGGAGTCTGAGCGACCATGGTAACCATGGCAAATGGAATAAGGGGGCTGCTGTGGGCATCCTCAACCGTGGAATTATTTAGAGGGAATAAGTGGACGGTCCAAAGAAATCAAAATGTGGAACGGCCGGAGTCAGAAAGTTAAAATGAAGGGTGGGATAAGTACGCCAAATTATGGTCGGTAGTTTTAGACGTGCTGAGAAGCACCAATACCAATTTCCCATTGAAACGAAATGAGCGAATCGTAGAGGGACTGACAGAGCTGGACCTTCGAGAGCAGCGCCACCTACATTAGGTACGAGAATGCGCAGGACAGCAAGTCACGGAGTTCAGATGATGCCTAAAAATAAGAGTAACAAAGACAAAAATTACCCTATCGAAAAGGTAGTCACCAAGTTTGTCCACAACAAGATCAGTGCCAATCGCTCCAATGGTTAGCGCCAGAAATAATGTGGAGAAACGTCGCGTAACGTATTTGTAGAATAACGTAGCATACGCCGGCATCACGTTATGTGTGTCTGCAAACACAATAATTATATTTTAGGAAGAAATAAAAATGGAACACAGTTTATATTGTGGGGTAATGGCAAGAAATGTATACGACTTAATGGACCGAAACACTTTCTTAAAATATTTTTCAACATTTTATTAGTTCTTGTTTTAACATTAAAATA